TTGCCGGTATCGATCATAGTCAAGAGTAGAGTGTATGGTTAAAAAAGATTGAAGTGCTCCTCTCTAGTTGAGATGTGTACGTTGTTGGGGTGTAGTTGATAGTCCCATTGCTCGAGGACGANTATATCACATCGCAATTTACTCATGTTTCGTTGATTTCTGATGTGAAATGTTATAATTTGTGCTAATTCGTGGTATTGTTATGTGTAAGAATCATCCGTAGGCAATATGGGGCAAATGTGCGAGATTGGAGGAAAAAAGGAGCAAAATGGGAAAATGACCACTTTATAGCACCACAGGAAGCGTGGGGGCGCTACTTGTGGCGCAAAAGTCAGAAACTTAAAAATTCCAGCGCCAGGGATAGCGCCCCACGCTATCCTGGGCGCTGGTGACGAGAATTTTCTCTTAGTTCGCTGGGGACAAGGTTATTTCGGCCCAAGACCCCTCCTACACATATAAAAGCAAGACTAAGCCTATGTTGAGAGGGGAAACGCCACTTTGAGGGAAAAATACATACGAGGAACATCCGAGAGCGAGGATATCTGAGTTTTCTTCATCTTTTCTTAGTATTCTCAATTATTCAACACTTGTGAATTTGTTTTGATATTATCATGAGTGGCTAAAACCCATAGTTCTAGGGTTGTAATTTATCCATGAATATTGTTGTTTAAGGATGACTTAACCTTGATTACAATTCACTAATATATGCTTGTTTCTTCAATTCTGTGATTAATTGCTTAGTTATCTAGCCAACAATTAGGTTCTATTTACTATTTATGCTATGCTTGGGAAAACTACGTCTAGATTAAAAAAGAATTGAAAAGAGCATGATCTTAACTCTGAGTGGGGGGCAGGTTTGTGGTTAGGATAGGAATATACCTAGTCACCATGCTTAATTAAATATTGTAATCTTAATGCGTTCTTAATAGATTGATTCCATAGGAATATAGGCGTTAGCCTATTTTAAATAGGCGAGTAGTAATTCAGGAGAATACTACGAGAGCAATTGTTCGATTAATTAGCAACTACACGTGAATTGTATGAAAGAGAGAGTTAATTAGAACACAATAAGATTGGTGAATCGATCACAACCCTGAAATATTTGTCTCTATTGAATACACAACAACTATTTTGCAACTTGATAAATTAGTTACTTGTTAGAATTATTGCTTAGTATAATCACACTTTTGAACTCTGATTGACTTGACTGGATAATAATCTTGGTGAAACTAGTGCGTAGTTAACACAAGTCTCTATGGTTTCGACAGTCGACTTATCATTTTATTACTTGTACGACCACGTATACTTGCGTGTGCGTTTGGGAGCAAGAATGATGCTTTTAGTCTTATATGTATAAATATATATGACCTAAGAAATTATCAAAATAAACCAAAATTAATTGTAAAATAAACTTTTATACAATCCATCATACAAGTAGGGGAAAACACATTTTCCATCTTATAATACACGCAAAAGTAGGCAAAAAGACCAACAAGGAATTGATCTTAAATACAACAAAACTTTAGTACATTTTATATTAACAACAAAAATAATTAACCTAACATTCTAATAATCTTTCTTTAGGCATGCATAGGAGAAGCATATGGACCTTCAGCATGAGTTGGATTTTTTGGAAGTACGAGCCATAAAAGCTCTAATCATAGACTTAATTAACCTTCTCCACAGTCTTAATAATTCCCAAAAACATGAACCTATAGAGAATCACCATTCCAAAAACAATTGCAACATCAACCCATTTTGAATATCCCATTTGCACTTGCCATATATTTCTCAAAATTTCATCATCTGAAATTATAGGTAGCCCTCCAATAGTCTTCTCATTACCCTACCAACACATTCCTTAAAAATCTAAAATATGATTTCATTCGAAAATTTAATAATATATTAAAATTGGAAGAGGATTTTTGAAAATTAAAGTCACGAAATGGCTAAATGACGGGGATGCTAATACCAGATTTTTTTCATCTTACCACTTTACAATGTCGCAAGAGTAATCGTATTACCGCGCTGTGCGACACAACTAGTAATTGAACTTCTGATAATTCTATTATTAAAGATTCAATCTACAATTATTTCGAACATCTTTTCACCATTTAACGTGAGTACTCCACAACTCACTTATTTTCTAACTCACACCAATCCTTGTCATTCATGGATTCCCAACATCTTGCTCGTTCACTCCTACATATAGAAGTGACACAAGCTATTAACTCTTTCAAACCATTTAAGTCTCCCAGTCTTGATGGGCTACATCTATATTTTTATCAACAGTACTTGACTGAAATTCAAACCTCGTTCTTAATTTTTATCACCGAGTTTTTACCACTTATGAAATTCCTCTAGAAATTAACTCTAGCTACATTTGCCTCATACCCAAAAAAACCAAACTGCAAACCNCTCAGTTCTTAATTTTTATCACCGAGTTTTTACCACTTATGAAATTCCTCCAGAAATTAACTCTAGCTACATTTGCCTCATACCCAAAAACCAAACTGCAAACTCCCTTAGCTATTTTAGACATATTAGCTTATGTAATACTAGTTACAAAATTATTACAAAAATCATCGTTGCTCGTATTATGCCTTTCCTTCAGCAATTAGTGGGGCCTACCCAATCCAGTTTCCTCCAAAATTATCGTGCGGCTGCCAATGCTATTATAGTCCAAGAAATCCTAGATCACTTTAAGAGGACTAAGGGGAAGAAATGACTTATGCTTCTTAAACTCAATTTAGAGAAATCTTTTGACCGTATTGAATGGTCTTTCATATACCGAGCACTAAACTTTTTCAATTTTCCAAAGCCTTTAATCAAGCTTATCATGTCGTGTGTTTCTTCATCTAGTATCTCTATGCTTATTAATGGATCACCAACCACCTATTTTTCTCCCACAAGAGAAATACGGCAAGGCAATCCTCTATCCTCATATTTATTCATACTATGTTTAGAGATGTTTTCCAGAAATATTAATGTAGTTGTGTACTACAACTCATGGGAACCCATCCAAATTTTCACCTTAGGTCCCCAAATCTCGAACCTTTTATTTGCAGATGATATCATACTCACAACAAAAATCTCTCGTAAATCTTGCCATACAATCATTGACCATCTCAATATGTTCACCAATGTCTCACGCCAAAAGAATTGAGGTGCAAGATTGGAACAGAAATACTTTTGAAAATATTTTTGAAAACAAAAGAATTTTACTTGCTAGGTTAAATGGCCTACAATAGTCTTCTCATTACCCTACCAACACATTCCTTAAAAATCTAAAATCTGATTTCATTCGGAAATTTAATAATATATTAAAATTGGAAGAGGATTTTTGAAAATTAAAGTCACGAAATGGCTAAATGACGGAGATGCTAATACCAGATTTTTTTCATCTTACCACTTTACAGTGTCGCAAGAGTAATCGTATTACCGCGCTGTGTGACACAACTAGTAATTGGACTTCTGATAATTCTATTATTAAATATTCAATCTACAGTTATTTCGAACAGCTTTTCACCATTGAACGTGAGTACTCCACAACTCACTTATTTTCTAACTCACACCAATCCTTGTCATGCATGGATTCCCAACATCTTGCTCGCTCACTCCTACATATAGAAGTGACACAAGCTATTAACTCTTTCAAACCATTTAAATCTCCCGGTCTTGATGGGCTACATCTATATTTTTATCAACAGTACTGGACTAAAATTCAAACCTCAGTTCTTAATTTTTATCACCGAGTTTTTACCACTTATGAAATTCCTCCAGAAATTAACTCTAGCTACATTTGCCTCATACCCAAAAACCAAACTGCAAACTCCCTTAGCTATTTTAGACATATTAGCTTATGTAATACTAGTTACAAAATTATTACAAAAATCATCGTTGCTCGTATTATGCCTTTCCTTCAGCAATTAGTGGGGCCTACCCAATCCAGTTTCCTCCAAAATCATCGTGCGGCTGCCAATGCTATTATAGTCCAAGAAATCCTAGATCACTTTAAGAGGACTAAGGGGAAGAAAGGACTTATGCTTCTTAAACTCGATTTAGAGAAATGTTTTGACCGTATTGAATGGTCTTTCATATACCGAGCACTAAACTTTTTCAATTTTCCAAAGCCTTTAATCAAGGTTATCATGTCGTGTGTTTCTTCATCTAGTATCTCTATACTTATTAATGGATCACCAACCACCTATTTTTCTCCCACAAGAGAAATACGGCAATCCTCTATCCTTATATTTATTCATACTATGTTTAGAGATGTTTTCCAGAAGTATTAATGTAGTTGTGTACTACAACTCATGGGAACCCATCCAAATTTTCACCTTAGGTCCCCAAATCACCTTTTATTTGCAGATGATATCATAGTCACAGCAAAAATCTCTCGTAAATCTTCCCATACAATCATTGACCATATCAATATGTTCACCAATGTCTCACGCCAAAACTTTATTTTTGAAAAATCACAATTATATTTTCTAATAATTGCTGCTATGAGTATAAGATGGCAACCTGCGAATGACCCACGTCATTTTTTGGACTGAACCTTGGCTCAAAGCAAATCTAACTTTAACGTCTCTTATACATGGACCATTAACAGAATTTAAGAGAAGATGATATGACAAAACAAACACTGGATTCTCTTTGCGTATGACGTGAAACTCGTCAAATTATGACTACAAACAAAAGGACAACATAATAAAACTAAGATAACAACGTTCTGACTTGGTAATTACATTTTCAAAATCTATGGAATGTGGTTATCGACCTTTTACTATTTAAATATATACTCGATTATTTGGGAATTCCTCGTACGTCTTTATAAGATTAAGATTCAAAAGTATTACATAACAATAAATTAATAAATACATCGTTATCTTCTTTCTTTCCCTTTGCATTTTCAGTATCATAATAAATTTAAATTTTTTCTACAATTCAACCTTTTCAAGCACATATATGCTATGTTGGAAACCTTAGCATATATACCTACGTACAAAGACGACAACAGAGAATAAACTCTTATATTATAACAATCCATCAAACAAGTAGGGAAAAACAAATTATTCCAACATTTAATACTCTCAAAAGTAGGTAGAAGCTTGCCTAGTACGATTTATCCTACTCTGAGATTTGCGAATTACTATTTTACAGGAGCGAGGTTTACCCTGTGCGCACCCGGATGATAGCGACTCGAGTTCCCTTGTTAACCAAAAAAAAAAGTAGACAGAAGACCAGCAAGGCATTGGTCTTGAATACAACAAAACTTTTATTTTACATCAACAACATATATCATAAACACGCTATAATAATTATTTTTCAAGCATCCATAGGAGAAGCATATGGATCTTCAGCATGAGTTGGAATTTTGGAAGTTCGAGCCATAAATGCTCTAATCAGAGGTTTAACCTTCTCCACAGTCTTAATTATTCCCAAGAACATAAACCTATAGAGAATCACCATTCCAAAAACAATTGCAACATCAACCCATTTTGAATATCCCATTTGCACTTGCCATATATTTCTCAAAATTTCATCACCAGTAATTGTAGCTGGCCCTCCAATTTGCTCATTAGGAAAACTTAATCCCAAGAACTCATTTTTGTAAAACCCTTGATTTGCATATTTGTGAAATGCAATATAATACATTGGATATTTCCAAAATGGATTAGGAAGATCATTAGGCAATCGAAAGAAACCCCCGTTAAGCATCATAACACCTTGAATTCCAGCTCCTGTTATAATTCCCATGAGAAAATCTGGTACTATACTTGCTACAATCATCATTAGGCTTTCGACTAACATCATTGTTGTGAATAGCATTAGGGCAAAATAAGCAAAGTGATCAAATTCCTTTTGTAATCCAACAAGGTAATAAGCCATAGCACCAGGTATTACTGAGATCATTGCTAGGTATGGAATGGAAGAGAATGTATTTCCCACAACATATGCAGCCACACCATAGTGCCCATTTAATCTTTCTCGAGTGAAAATCTAGCAACAATTAGGAGCAAATGACAAATAATTGTTATTATTGTGAAAGATTATTATGTGTAGAATAAATGAACAAATTATTGGAATGTTTTTTTCTTGTTGATAGTTATATATAAGTGTATACTTTCATATCCTCCACAAAAGAAGGGAATCCACCAATTGCCATAAAGGTTAAGAAGGCAGCAACAAACATGAGCATTGAACCTCTAGCCTGCAAAGGTATCAAAGGGAAGAAAGGAAAATGTTATATAGTGTGACATGTCAACTAAAAGATAACTACACAGATAACTGTCTATACGTTGCAAGTCTAATTCAAATTAATACAAAAAGGCAAAATGTCTCACCTGAATGGAGCCATAGTCGTGGCCAATGTCATGAAATATAGTGCCAACACACAAGCACAGAGCAACATATATTGCAAAACGAAGCCAGTAATAGCCAAGATCACGATACATGTTCACAAAAGATCTCCTAGTGAGAACCATGCACTGAGTAATGAAACTTGTTTGGTTTCCTTTCTTTGCCTCTTGTCCACCATTCTATACACAGATATTCATAATTAGACCAATTTAAGTAGTTTTCTTGGATTTGCATAATATATATAAGATCAAAATTACGATTTTGTGAATCACATGACGTGTAGACAAACCTGTTGGCAAATCTCCAAAACTCGCCGTTGAACTTGTTGGCAACCCTGTGAGGTCTTGTATGACTTAACCAGAATATTGATCGCTTCTATTGCACTGTCTTTTCCACTAACTCCTTTTTCGATATCCTAAGGTCATCAAATAGAGAAGAGTACAGGATTAGAATTATATTGAAAGGGAGAAGAGAGCTGCTCTTCGAGCTAAGAATGAGAGAACAGAGAGAGAAGAAAGTTCTGGAAATAGGACTCTATTATTTCATCTATCTTTACACGTGTAACCCTTTACATATATATCCCCTACTCTAACTTCTTCTAACAATACATATAACTATCTAGTAGTGCTAAACTAATACTTCCTCGGTTTCAATTTATGTGAACCCATTTGACTGGGCACGGAGTTTAAGAAAAGATAGAAGACTTTAGAATTTGTGGTGTAAAATGACGCACATATATTTTGTGTGGCTATAAATCATTGCATAAAGGTAAATTGTTTTCAAATAGGGAAAGATGTCATTCTTTTTGGCACGGACTAAAAAGGAAATAGGTTCACATAAATTGAAACGGAGGGAGTACTAATCAATTATGTACAACTACCATTGCTTATGTACAATATTATACTGCACATGTTGATTTCAACACTCCCCCTCAAGTTGGGTGATGAAAAATATTTATCATACTCAACTTGCTAACCATTTCTCTGTGCACATGCTTCCCAAGTGCCTTGGTCAATGTGTCTGCTATCTGCTCCTTGCTGGGCACATGTGTTGTTTTTATCATCCCTGTTTGTAATTTTTCTCTAATAAAATGACAGTCAATTTCTATATGCTTTGTACGTTCATGATACATAGGATTGGATGCAATATGCAGTGCTGCTTTATTATCACAGTATAACTTCATAGGCAAATCAACTTTCATACCCAACTCTTTAAGCAATCCCTGTAGCCATACCAACTCTGCTACAGTCGCGGCCATACTCCTGTATTCTGCTTCTGCTGAGCTTCTTGAAATTGTACTCTGCTTCTTGGATTTCCAGGAGATCATTGAATCTCCAAGTTTTATGCAATAACATGTTACTGATTTTCTGGTCACTGGGCATGATGCCCAATCAACATCACAAAATGCAATAACCTTGCCACTTTGTTTGCTACTCATTAGCAGACCTTTCCCTTGGTAGTCTTTCATATATTTTACTACTCTTAGGGCTGCTTCATAATGAGATTGCTTTGGTGCATTCATGAACTAACTTAGAGTCTGAATTGCAAAAGAGATATCTGGTCTTGTGATTGCCAGATATAGAAGTCTGCCAATTAACCTCTGGTATACTCTTCTGTCTTCAAGTTCATAGTCATTCTCCTGCATCCCAAACAACTTGTCATATTCCACACTAGTTAGCTTCACATTTTGATCCAGTAGAAATGTAACTGGTCTTGGTCTCCCTAAGCCACATTCTGAGATAAGCTCTAGAGCATATTTCCTCTGATTCATGACAATGCCTTTGTGTGATATTGCAAACTCAATACCAAGAAAAAATTTGAGCTCCCCTAAATCTTTCATCTTGAAATTACCATTCAGAATCCTTTTAGCATCTTGTATTAGGCCATTGTCACTTCCCGCAATTAGGAGATCATCTACATATATTAATATGATTACTATATCCCTACCACTCCTTTTGGTAAACAAGGAATAGTCCAGTTTGTTTTGGCTAAAACCAGAATCTACAAGAGCTAAAGTCAGTTTCAGGTTCCATTGCCTGCTGGCCTGTTTCAGACCATACAGGGACTTGAGTAGTCTACACACTCTAGTCTCCCCCTGACTACCAAAGCCCTGTGGTAAGGACATGTAGACCTCCTCTGGAAGATCACCTTGGAGGAATGCATTATAAACATCCATCTGGAATAAAGGCCAACTACACTGAGCTTCCAAGGCAACCACACTCCTTACTGTGACCATATTTACTATATGGGAAAAGGTTTCAAGATAATCCAGACCCTCCTGCTGAGTAAACCCCTTGGCCACTAGCCTGGCTTTATACCTCTCTACAGACCCATCAACTTTGTATTTGACTTTGTAAATCCACTTACAACATATGGGAGACTTCCCTGTAGGCAAGGTTACTAACTCCCATGTATTATTATCTGTGAGAGCTTGAATCTCAAGCTTCATAGCTTGTACCCAATTGCTATCAGTGACAGCTTGGTCAAAAGATGATGGTTCAATGGTGGAGGAATATGAAGACAAATAGGTTTGATAAGAAGAGGATAAGGAAGAGTAATTGATGGAATCTGTGATGGAGTAAGGAGTGGAGGATTAAGGTTTGACCTGATGGATAAAGTCTGTAAGCCACACGGGAGGTTTAGATAGCCTTCCAGATTTCCTCAAGGGAGCTGTAGGAGTAGGAGGCAAATCCTGGTGTTGTGGTGCTGAAGGAAAGATTATAGGAGGAGCAGACATGACAGGGAAGGATGCTGGAGCAGGAGAAGAAATAGAAGAGGTAGATGGAAATGAGTGAACTGGAGATGACATAGGAAAAGAGGTAGATGGAGATAAGGGATGCTCAGAAGAAGTTGAAGGAGAATCAGGATCTGGGATTGAGGGTGGTAAGGGATCCATGGAAGCTAGAAAGGAATCATCACAAGTAGAAGTTGGAATACTGGTAGGAAATATAGGTGTTGATCCTGAAGATAGAGTATGGAGAAAAGTGGATTTAGGATAGTAGGCATGGCTCTTTGAGAAAACTTGTCAGTATTATGTAAGGTGGTTGCATAACAAAGAAATCCAAAAATTCTAATGATATCAAGCGTGGGAGGATGTCCATGAAAAACCTCATAAGGAGAATTCCTAGATAGGACTGAAGATGGTAATCTATTAATAAGAAAGGCTGTAGTGAGTACACATTCCCCCCAAAATTTTAATGGTTCATGAGCCTGAAACCTAAGGGCTCTAACCATTTCAAGTAAATGTCTATGTTTCCTTTCTACTACTCCATTTTGCTGTGGAGTGTGTACTCAAAAACTTTGATGTAAAATTTCAATTGATGAGAAAAGAGTTGAACACTGAGAATTGAAGAATTCAAGACCATTATCTGATCTTATAATTTTAATTGTTGCAGAAAACTGATTTTTGATAAGAGTGAGAAATGATTTGATTAAAAGGAAGACATCACTTTTCATTCTTATCAAGTAGATCCAAGTAATTCTAGAGTAATCATCTACAATAGTAAGGAAATACTTGTATCCATTGTAAGTACATTGCCTATATGGACCCCAAGCATCCATGTGTACAAGTTCAAAAGGAGATACACTGTTCTTTGTACTAGCAGGAAAAGGAAATCTAGTTTGCCTTGCTAAAGGACAAACAGTATGCATGGCTCTTTGAGAAAACTTGTCAGTATTATGTAAGGTGGTTGCATAACAAAGATATCCAAAAATTCTAATAATGTCAAGCGTGGGAGGATGTCCATGAAAAACCTCATAAGGAGACTTCCTAGATAGGACTGAAGATGGTAATATGTTAATAAGAAAGGCTGCAGTGAGTACACATTCCTCCCAGAATTTTAATGGTTCATGAGCCTGAAACCTAAGGGCTAAAACCATTTCAAGTAAATGTCTGTATTTCCTTTCTGCTACTCCATTTTGCTGTGGAGTGTGTACACAAGAACTTTGATGTAAAATTTCAATTGATGAGAAAAGAGTTGAACACTGAGAATTGAAGAATTCAAGACCATTATCTGATCTTATAATTTTAATTGTTGCAGAAAACTGACTTTTGATAATAGTGAAAAATGATTTGATTAAAAGGAAGACATCACTTTTCATTCTCATCAAGTAGATCCAAGTCATTAAAGAGTAATCATCTACAATAGTAAGGAAATACTTGTATCCATTATAAGTACATTGTCTATATGGACCCCAGGCATCCATATGTACAAGTTCAAAAGGAGATACACTGTTCTTTGTACTAGCAGGAAAAGGAAATCTAGTTTTCCTTGCTAAAGGACAAACAATACAATTTAGAGTGTCTTTATTCAACAAGTGATTCTTCAATGAAGGAATCTTTTGTAATACTGCTACTGGAACATGACCAAATCTTTGGTGCCAAATGGAAGAATGTGAGCATGACTTTGATGAGATATTGGATGATTCTGGGACTGGAGTAGGGCTGTGCATAATTTGATAAATACCGAATTACCATATCGAAACTAAAAATTTTAGTATTTGGTATTCGGTATTTTGGTATTTGGTATGGTATTTGATTTAAGTTTTAAAAAAAATTGGTATTAGGTATGGTATTTGGTATTTTAAAATAAAATACCGAAATACCGATACAGTACCGAAATATATATTACAAAACACATATTATCAATTATATCATAAAAATTTTACTTTCTTTTATTCTCTAAGTTCATCAATTAACTCTAAACAAGTAACAAGACATTTCTAATGATCAAATTTATTCTTTTATATACAGTTTTCTCTCTATGGGTCGATGTTTACTGTTTTTTGACAAAACTTTTGTCAACAAATATTTTTAGTTTTGTATTTTTGAGTACTTTAATTAAGAATATTAGAGTCTATGACTCAATGCACTAGTTAGTATTCAAACCGAATAAAACGAAGTTACTGAACCGAATAAACCGAAACCGAAAGGAGAAAACCCGAACCATACCGAATTTAATTAGGTACGGTATTGATATAGAATTTTAAGAAATCGAATACCGAAAATACCGAACCAAAATATCTAAATACCATACCGTATCGACCAACAAACACTCCTAGACTGGAGTAGTAGAGGCTGGAGTTGTTGAAGGTATAAAAGAGTTGAAAGCAGGAGCTGAAGGTGTTTCAGGTACTTTGACAGATGGTGGTATCTTGGCAGGTTGAAGTATGTAAAGTCCACCCTTCTCCTTACCAATCCCCCTCACCCTGCCATTGTAATATAGAATTTAGGAAAGAATAATGCACAACACTTCAGTTTTTTAGTTAGCTTTGAAACAGATAACATATTGTATTTGAAATTAGGAACATAAAGAATATTATACAGTTCTAGGTCATTAGAAAGAATTAATGATCTTGTATGTGTTACTGAAGTAGTGTTGCCATTTGACAGATGTACTTTACTAGAGTTAGTAGCAATAGATTGAGATTAAGTTAAGAGGTCCAAGCTAGAAATCATATGATTCGAAGCTCCAGTATCTATGACCCAAGAGTTAGTTTCAGAACCTATAGAGTAACATGCATTAAGGAGTGCATCTGTTGTTGTTGGTTCTTTGTCAATTAACTTCAACAGTTGGTGATACTGTTCTGGAGTGAAAAATGGTATATTGCTGGGCCTTGATGAGCTGCCTACTGAGCTGGTTCCTTCAGATTCCTCAACACAGCTCACATTGTTGGCTGTAGATCCCCTGCTTCCTCCTGAATTTCCCTTGTCAAAAGTTCTCCTTTTGTTGAAATTGTTGTTAGGTGGATACCCCCTACCAGCTTATAACAATTCTCTTTCTCGTGACCCTTCATATGACAGTAATCACATTGCAATACACTATTTCCATTGTTATTTCTGAACCTGTTACTTTGGATGGAAGCCAAGACTGTAGGGTCATTCAAATCAAGCTGTTGCAAGGCTGGAGCTACATGTGATATCATGTTTGATTGCACTCTTTAGCTTTCATCTTGCATGATCATATTGTATGCTTGATTGAGAGTGGGAATAGGGACAATCAACAATACTTGACTCCTTGCTTGTGCATATGTTTCGTTTAGACCCATCAGAAATTGTACCAGTCTTTGTTGTTCCATGCGTTCTGCATATTCCTTATGCTTTGTGCAGTCAAATGGCAATGGTACCATCGACTAATACTCATCCCATACACGTTTCAATTTTGAGTAATATTTTGACACTGATAAACTCCCTTGGCTAGTGGTACAAATTTATCGGAGCAGTTGATAAACTCTAGTGAGATTTTTCTTATCAAATCTTTCCTTTAGGTCTGTCCAAACACTATAGGCATTGGTTGAGTACATTATACCATTTACTAGTTCTTTAGACACTAAATTAGTTATCAAGGACAACATGAAAGCATTACATCTCTCCCATTCATGTTCCAAATCACCATTATACTGTTCTTTATGAGATTTTCTATCTATGAACCCTAGCTTATTTTTGGCTAATAAAGCTACTCGCATAGAATTACTCCAAGCCGTATAGTTTTCTATTCCCATTAGTTGTTGAGGGATTAGAGCACTACCTGGACTATCGGAGGGATGTAAGTATAGAGGATGCCTGGGATGTATGTCTGTGAACTTTTCTCCGTCGTCCTTCCCGGTCTCCAGAGTTGAATTCGTCATCGACGAGGCTTGGAATTAGTGAATCGAAGGTAGAATCAAGGTCGATCTTCAAGGAAAACCTTGCACTTTGCCGGAATTTGCGAATTATGAGATCGATCGCAAACCCTAGGTGAATCGCCCAAATTTCTGACGAACTCTCTTAATTTCTTACTTCTCCGATAAAATTGAGTGAGTATATCTATACTAATATTAGATTCCTCAAAGAATCAGCTCGAAAACCACCATGGATCTATGACTCTGATACCATAGTGAAAGGGAGAAGAGAGCTGCTCTTCAAGCTAAGAATGAGAGAATAGAGAGAGAAGAAAGTTCTGGAAATTTTGACTCTATTATTTCATCTATCTTTACACATGTGTAACCCTTTAAATATATACCCCCTACTCGAACTTCTTCTAACAATACATATAACTATCTATTAGTACTAAACTTATACTAATTAATTATGTACAACTACCATTGCTTATGTACAACATTATACTGCACATGTTGATTTCAACAAATTATTTTTCTGCAAATAAATAGATTTTAAATGAAGAAGATGGGAATATACTTACAGCATCAAAGTCCTTGTTGATTGTCCTTAGGTAGTGATCAGAAGGATTCCTCATAGTTGTACATGGGAAGCCATTCAACGCAAAAAACTGAAAAAAAATTAGTATTAAAGATTCATCATCAACTAATTTTAGACTTTTCATAATATTGAGTGACATCATTGTTATAGATTTAACTTATATCGACTGATTTATCAGTGTAGTTTAACCTGTTATAGTAAGTTGTTTGTTTTATTTTCAGGTGATCAATTTCAGTTATTATGAACCATGATAATGTTTTAAAAAAACAATCTTTTGTACTATATAGAAGTTAAACTCCTGTGACTATAGTGTTATAATACCTCATTTGCTGCAGAAATGGAACCAAAGTAGACAGTCCTACCAGAGGAGAGAAGGCAAAGATTGTGGAAAAGCTCAAAAACTTCACTACTTGGTTGATGAATAGAAGCAACAACAGTTCTTCCATCTTGTTTAGCCAATTGAACTATTCGATTCATAACATGGTAAGATGCTGCACTATCAAGTCCACTAGTTGGCTCGTCAAGGAAAAGAAGCTTTGGACGTGTTAGTATTTCAATGCAAATACTAACTCTTCTTTTTTGTCCACCACTTAATCCTTTTACACTCCACCCTCCAATTCTAGTATTCATTGCATCTTGTAAACCCATTTCTCTGATTGTTGCTTCAGCTCTTTCTTTCTTCTCGGATCTTGACATTGAATCTGGTAATTGGAGTTGTGCTGAATAGTATATTGCTTCTCTCACTGTTAGTGTTGTCATCAGGGTATCATCTTGTGTCACATAAGCCTTTTGAAAAAGAAAAATAGAAACAAAAGGATGTCATTTAATTAGTCACTAAACAAGCCTATAAAATATATCATAGTTTTAACATGCTATATTCCTAAAAATACTAAGTTAAAGTGTTAAACTCTGTTTTACACATTATATAGAAGTTAAACTCGACAAGAAAGAGGTGAGTTATTAGTTCTCCTTACCGATGTGCCAAAAGCAAGAGCTTGCCTCCGACCATTGACGAGGATTTCTCCAGTTTGTCTGGTGTTGGAATCTAATCTCCCTGCAATCAATGGTATTTTGCGTAAGTGGTGTCACACTTAAAAAAAAAAGTAAACAAATGATTTTTTTTTTTTTTACCATAACACCAAACTCGGAGAATAAACTATGTCCCCGAGAAACGTTATGACTTGTAAAACGCGTAGAATATCATTAAGAATTTCTTTTTAAATAGATTTTAGATTTTAAATATTTTATCCTTTATAATAAACTTTTTTTAGAGCCACTATTGTGATTTGTCATTTTTTTCTTACTTTTTTAAAGGAAAATATCTGGACGAATCACATGTCATTAGGATTAGGACTCTTTAACTTATAATTAAATAAGTAAAAATAGTGCCCAAACTAAACAAACGCTTTGAATCGAACCCACAACACACACTAGCATAATGAACTATGTTACCATTGGACTTAGAGCACTTCATTTTTTCAAGTGGTGTCACTGTAATAGTATTTTACCGTTATTACGTTTTTAATTTATCATTTATTCATAAATTTAGTATTTTTTTTTGTGAAGCTTGTAACGGTATGTATCCGCCCCTGCCTGCAATAGTATTAATTCCCAGCTTAAAATCAGATTTACAAACTTAAACATAAATTCTTGTTTTATTCCTATGTTTTATACGGTATAGAGGAAACGGGTGGGGTCAGAAATGTATACTGAGCAATGTGAACGTGGATTTCATAGAAAAATATTCTTAGCTAGCGTTGTCATAGATTATTAAATTTATTTTAAAAAATCTGATTGGGATGAAGTTTGATTTGAAGATAAAAGTCTGTTTGGACATATATCACTTTTTTTTTGTTTGGAAAAACATGAAATATGACTTATACTCATAAGTTCTAAAAATTATCAAAAATAGTCAACAATACCAAACAAACAAACTAGCTAATCCTGTATACGTAGAACCTTCATCGGTACCATTCATTAACATTATCACAAATCATATTCCTGAACATAGATAAGTTTGACACAAAATTATCATTTTTACAATGAACTACATAATACAACATTTTAATACAAATGTTAATAACACAATTACTAGCCACTATAATTCATCAAATTACAATAATATTACCAGATCCACCAGTCCAAAAAAAATGATAGTAATTAGCTGGTGGGTTGGGTCATAATAGATGGTGGACTTTTTTATAAAATACAAAAGTTTGGGGTAATTTTTAAAATTATTAAAAAAAATAAACAGTGATATTTTGGGCCAAAAACAAGCCTATAACTAGTTTTGGGATTTGGAAATTTTGTTTTCAAAATTTACCAAAACATGAATAAAATCTATAAACAAACATATTTTGTCAAAAAACAAATTGGAAAAAATTTGGCAAAATCTATGGCCAAACGGGACTTATTCATTTTTTAATGTATCGACTAGCTAACAACTAGCAGGGTCTTTTTCAGGTGGATTAAAACATTTCTTTTTTTAAATATATGGTTTAGATGGACCAATTCCTAGCATCAAATTAATCACCGAGGGATGTGACCACATGAAATTTTTACCTATCTATACTACATATAAAATTTATTTACTTTCCCAAATCAAATTTTAACTTAATTACATTGGCATATACAAATTACCAATTATATACAAATTAATATTAATGAGCACCCCTTTATATTATGAATTGAATAAGGAATCAATTATTTCTCATCCCCGTGTTTGATTCTCCACCATTGACAGCCATTAAAAAGCTCCGAAGCTTTGAATTCGAATTTGGGTTTTCAAAAATTACTGTTTGTTTGGATTGGGTGTTGTTGCAAATAATTGAGAATATTCTTTGGAGTTTATATCTCGTGTTTGGTGAAGATTAAACTTGATTTTGGCTGAATTTCAGACTAAAACTCGAAGAAGAAGAAGAAGAAGAAGAAGAAGAAGAAGAAGAAGAAGAAGAAGAAGAATACATGACATACAATATCCGTACGAAATTGTATTAAAGTTGTATGTAAATTGTATTATGTTATATTTATATATTTTTTTATTTGAATGTTGTATGGAAGTTAAAAAATAGTTGTATAATGTATGAATCGTCGTATGAAATTTGTATTTAAGTTATAAATACTATCTTTTTATATTTATTGATATGTATCAAAATTAGATTAAAAGAGAAAGTTTTGATTGGAATTTCATAGAGAAAGAAGAACACACCACTTACAAAATATATACAAATAATATACAAAATATACAAAAAGACATATTATATAAAATTTGTATGAAAATTATATTTAAGTTGTAGGATATTGTAGTTGTATTTAACTGTATAGAAATGATATATGAAAGTTGTAAATAAGTTTTCTACTGAGCAATTCTGCCTATTGATAAATCACAGTTAAATGAAAGAAGTCAATATGCAAACACATATTATATATACATTGATTGAAGGACAAGCCATGTTGTGATTCAAGGTAACTTTTTATAATTTCGGGCTCATGGACAAGCCATGTTGTGATTTCTTAAATTGGGATTAACCTTATGATATGAAAGGTAGAGCAATGAATAGCAAATAATTTCTGATAGGGGCTTATGAAAGATTCTACGCTGCTAAAGTTGTTTTATGTATTACTGAGTTTAGTGTGTTTCTTTGTTGAGTCCCATCCTAGATTAGGGAGCGGCGTCTTGGTGGGTCTCTTAGTTCTGTAACAATATGTTGTGCCTTAGGGTTTGTTATCCCTAGTCAGTAGGGTTTGTTACTAATGGACGAAGTTTAATTTCTGGTTTCTTGTCTGATTTTGCCAGAAATTAGTAGTAAGGATTTAGAGTCTTCGATCCTGACATGTGATACTTATTGTTTACCCCAAAATCGGATAATAATTAAATTTATGATTTTAAGGATATGTGATCTAATTTGATACAAAGTGAGAAATCAGATAAAATGGAAGAATAAGTAAAAAAAATAAATGTGAACCATGCAGATTGAACAACTTAAGCCTCGCAAGGTTAACTTCCTTCGAATTTAGATGTGATATTATTGAAGCCAGGATAATATTAACAAAGCTGAAAAAAAATAGTATCTTGTTCTTTGAAGTGAGTTACAATGTCTCCCAATTAGTGAGTTTCTTCTCTATATATTTAGGGAGATTAGGCTTTTAAGACATTATTTTATGTGAAATTATGTAGACCGTTAGCTCCCTTTTTGACTTAATCCCGTGATTTCTGCCATAAAGATTGATTAATGGCGAGAATCACGGATCCTTGTCGGATGAGTTGGCAAAGCTCTTCTTCGAGGCCGTTAGAAGCAAGATCAGTCGTGCTTTTTGTAAACTCGAGGGCAAATCTGATGGTATTGTCGAATTTCGAACCTCGATATCGATCTCGGTTTCATCTATACCTTCGATCTTTTACAAATGTGTCGAGTCCGGTCTATTGTTCCAGATGCTAGATCAAGCATCGAGCTCGGTTCTATCCGCATACACTTATCTCGCAAAAGTTGGAAGAGAGAGGTATCTATTGTGGTCCATGTGCACCAGCATAAATAGATGAAGAACGAAGGAAAAGAGATCGAAGTGAATTATGAAGTGATTATATTTTGAATTAGTCTTTTGTAAAAATGATTAAATCTATATATTGTAATTGTTTTTTCTTTTGGGGGAAACTGGAGAGATAAAAACTGGAGAGTAGTCATGTCCTCCTTATTGAAAGAGGAGTAGAGAGAAAATAGGAAAATGATGTAATTAAGTCCCTAATTTAAGACACTAATAATAGATTGTATATATTTTGTAAGTAATCTTTGTTTAGGACGGGTAATATATAAAATTAGAATAATTTTGGTAAATAAGTTTCAAATATTGTATAGGAAGGAAAAAATCTTTCCCCTTACTAGGCCTATTTATACAACTTAGAGGTATCAAATTTGCGGGTTAAGCTGATTTTGGACGGATTAAAATGGGCCGAGTCAATAAATGAGTGGATCAATGACCCGCCAAAAAGTTATTTGGGTTGAGATGGACTGGGTCAAAATAGGCTAAATTTGGGTCATAACCCAACCCGCCCAACTCTTATCAAGTTTTAATTAATGTGTGTTATTTTCGTATGGATTATTTAATTACTAAATAAGACTTTTTTTTATGGTGACATATAACATATCAAACAAAAAAGAATTATTTTAAAGATATTTTCAGAAAGTCACTCATGGATCAATTTGGGATAAAAATCAGCTCAACTTTAGATAAGCTCAGATGAGCTGGATCAAGATGGACTGAGTTCAATAAATGGGTGGATCAATGACTGACCTAATCTTGGATGGGTTGGGCGGGTCAAATGGGGTTGGGCTCAAATTTCCACCCACAGTATAACTTTGGGGCTTTTGTATTTATACCCGGTTTTGGAGTCACAATTGAACCTATACCCATTTTGCAAAAAAGTTTGCAAGCGTACCCACTTTACGATCAATTTCAGACTTATCGGATCTGAAGTTAAAAAACTTTAGCCTGAAGTAAAAAAATTGCACTTCAAATGCACTTAAGGCCAAATAGGTCTGAAGTTTACCAATGGTTTCATGCACTTAAGGCTAATAAGTCTAAAGTGAATAATTGCACTTCAAATGCACTTAAGACCAATAAGTCTGAAGTGAAAAATTGTACTTCAAATGCACTTAAGGCCAAAAAGTCTGAAGTGCAACAAACGTTTTCATTCACTTAAGGCCAATAAGTCTGAAGTGAAAATTTGCACTTCGGATGCACTTAAAACCAAATAGGTCTGAAGTGTAACCAATGATTTCATGCACTTAAGGCCAATAAGTCTGAAATGAAAAATTGCACTTCAGATGCATTTAAGGCCAAAAGGTCTGAAGTGCAACAAACGTTTTGCTACACTTAAGGCCAATAAGTTTGAAGTGAAAAATTGCACTTCAAATGCACTTAAGGCCGAAAGGTTTGAAGTGCAACAAACATTTTCATTCACTTAAGGCCAATAAGTCTGAAGTGAAATATTGCACTTCAGATGCACTTAAGGCCAAATAGGTCTGAAGTGTAACCAATGGTTTCATGCACTTAAGGCCAATAAGTCTGAAGTGAAATATTGCACTTCAGATGCACTTAAGGCCAAATAGGTCTGAAGTGTAACCAATGGTTTCATGCACTTAAGGCCAATAAGTCTGAAGTGAAATATTGCACTTCAGATGCACTTAATGCCAAAAGGTCTGAAGTGCAACAAATGTTTTGCTACACTTAAGGCCAATAAGTCTAAAGTGAAAAATTGCATTTGAGATGCACTTAAGGCCAAAAGGTCTGAAGTGCAACTAACGTTTTTATGCACTTAAGGCCAAATAGGTCTGAAGTGCAAATTGCCCAGAAACAAAAATTTGTTGTTCGAATTATAACAACCCAATATACGATTTAATACCTAAATCTACTCCAAATGAGCTCAAATTTGAAACATAATTATAACCTCCAAATATCATCAGGAACAATCCCCAATCATCAATTTGTCAAAACAATAATAAATCTAATGAACCCATTTTGCAATTAAGAAAAAGTAGAAGAAGAAACTCTAAGCAATAGTAAAAAATAAAACGTCATAACAGCTCACCATTGTAAAATATCATAAACTACATTAAAATATGTTCACAACTACTATATAAAAAAATTTTTGTCACCTGAAGAAGAAGAAGAAGAAGAAGAAGAAGAAGAAGAAGAAGAAGAAGAAAAGAAGAAGAAGAAGGAGGAGGAGGAAGAGGAGAAAGAGGTGTGAAGTTGTCTAAAAAGTGGGTACAAGTTAAAACTTTTAAAAAAAATGGGTATAGGTTAAAGGAGACGACCAAATAGGGTGGCTGCAAAATTTTTACTATAACTTTAGATTAGACGGACTAATAAACTTAGACTATTTAACCAAAACAATTGCAGTATTAGAATAGTACCTGCTAAAGTATCAAGAAGAGTAGATTTGCCACAACCAGAAGGACCCATAATGGCCAAGACTTGACCAGGTTGTACATAACCAGTCAGCCCTTGTAATATAGCTCTCCTCCCTGTTTTCTTGTCCGGCACTGTCACCCACAAATCTTTCCATGTCAAGTATATACCTTCATTACCACCACCTGTATTAAAAGGGACTACTTCATATGCAAAACCAGTAGTAGTACTATTTCCCTTTATCTCTTCCCTAAATATTGGTGGTGCTTCATATTTTTCCATTTCTAAGAACCTCTTTATCTCAGAATCAACCCTAAGAGATGGTGCTTCAATAGTAGCAATATGAGGTGGTGGACTATTACTAAATGGGAAATTTTTGGTTGGGTTGTTGTTGTTAAAAGGAATATCATCTTGAGAATAAGTGACACTTTCATTATCTGTTTCAGATTCTTGGCGTCTATGTGGTGATCTATTTGGACTAGGTGTCCATCTCGGAACATTATCCTGTAACTCCATTCCTAATATTTTTTCTCTCTATCTGCTGCTAGTTGCTGGGATTCTATATATATAGGAGAGAAGAAGATAAAGAGAAAGGCATATATGGAAATAAGTAAAGCTAATGCATGGAATAATGAGAGTGGTGAAAGAGGGTTCATATACCGTCAAACCTTTATATAACAGCCTCATTTGTTCCGAAAGATTTTTGGCTGTTATAGTAAAGTGCAGTTATAGAGGACATATATTATGATATAATATAATATTCGATTCTAAGAATAACTCGGCATTTATAGTGAATAGTTATTATATAAGAATATTGTTATAGAAAGGTGACCATTTATATAATGAAAATGAGGGAGGTGTTTGGAAATTAGAGTAATAATCTAGTTGTATAAAATAGTTAAATTAAATAAACCAGATTGACTTCAAACAAGGCATGGAAACTAAGAAACAAACGTATATATTCCATAAAATGAGACAATTTTGGCCTAGCTTGGTCTTCGTTTACTATTTCCTCTAGTGATAATTAAGAAGGTTGATCGGACTTGATTTTGTGAATTGTATAAAAAATATAAATATTGCTCCAATTAGCATCTTCACTTTGGAAAATTTTTGAATTATAATAAAATCTCAAATTCAAACTTAAAAAGTTTAAACCCTGAATTTGCTTTTCTTTAATATCTTGGGACCAAACACTGTAGGCGGCACCCGTGTTTCGTTTGCGTAGCTCCTCTTGGCAGTCTCCAAAAGCACCCATTTAATAGCAGTATTTAGGCTTAGGCAGCTAGTATTATTCTTAAAGCAGGATAATTTAAAGCAAAGTAACTCCAACAAATTAATGTGAGAATGTTCCATGCATTTCTCAAGTCGGGCCAAACAAAAGAGGAGTTATAATAAGTTTGATACTAATTAACCGTAGAATTAGTTGATTTATGATCAATCCTAGCGTAATAGGTAAGGATTCATATAACGATCCAAAATCCAACTAGTCGTGATGACACCTAACCTAACCTGTTAGGTAAGCCAATTACCAACTATCTGATTCCAATGAAAGTAATTAAAAGAAAATATCTAAAATTAATACGTTTCCCCAAGAACTAGTAGTACAAATCATGAGCTTCTAAGAATAGAGTATATAAAGTGGAAATGAAATAAATACATAGTCTGCTTGAATAATACATAAACAGAGCTTTTATAAATCTAAGGCTACCCTGAACAAGAGGCAGCTACAACAGGAACACAGGTATATCTTCAAATCCGGCAACCATCAAACACAGCAACAACGACAGCCAATATCTACGAGCAATGTGCAGAAGTGTAGTATCAGTACAACCGACCCCATGTACTGAGTAAGTAACAAACCTAGCCTTAGGTTGAAAGTAGTGACGAGCTTATACCAAGGTCAGAGTCCAACTTCCATAACCAACAATAGTTCATAACAATATTAAACAAGTAATACCAGAAGTAACTCAAAGAATAAATGCTCAACTAAATCATGACTTCTAAAAATAGTTCTGCCTTTCAAGTACATCAGTGAAAAATCCCAAATCGCTTACCGAAGTTACCAAAAATATGAATAAGCTTGAAAACAGTAATTTTTTTCTAAAATCCTTTCAATAATAAATAAAATGTCTCATTTTCTTTTCAGATAACCAGTGTAAAATAAATGCATCACTATGCCCATCTGTCAACTTGTGTGAGAAATCATGAATAATGTGATACCGTACAACATGAGAAAAATACATCTCTATGCATATATGTCATGTGTGCATGTCAATGCAATGTATCTCAGAGATTGTACTCATATAATCACACTCTCACAGTACTCAATCTCATTATCTCGCATTCTCTCTCACTATGCTCAGCATACTCAATCACTCAGCGCTATACAATACCTGCAGCGGCATGTAGTCCGATCCCTGTTTATAGTCGACTGCGCTCACTGGGGGTGTATACAGACTTATGAGGGGCTCCTACAGCCCAAGCGCTATAAGCACGGACAACTCACGTGCTATAATATAAATATCTGGATCCGCACGGCCAATTCACGTGCTGCACGGTCAACTCACGTGCAATAATAATATAAAGATCCGCACGACCAACTCACGTGCTGCACGGCCAGCTCACGTGCAATAATAATATAAGGATCCGCACGGCCAACTCACGTGCAATAATAAGCCAATAAGGCCTGCTGCAGGCGGGCAGTCCCGATCCATATAATAGTAATAATATATATAAAACCAACATGGCCTGCTGCGGCGTGTAGCCCGATCCCAAAAATATTCTCACAATCAGGCCCTCGGCCTCCCTCAGTCATCAATCTCTCC